TTTTTTCTAATTTTGTTAAATAAAAACAGCACATTTCATTTTATCTCCTTTTTAGAATTTCGAAACAAATAATGTTAATTCAGAAGAACAAGTTCTTTTTATTTTATTTTTGTTAACTCCGAAAAGTGAGAGCAGATTTTTTTTTTTTTTTAATAAAACTTTTCCGAGACAATCTTAATTTAGAAAGAAATGGCTTTTGGGGGGGAATTGATTTTTTTTTTTCTTTTCTCCAGGTTTCTGATATTATCTCATTAATAGAAAAATCAAGATTTTTCTGATTAAAACTTACCTTAAAATTGTAATATTACCTTAGAAAGACCAGCAAGTCTTTTCTTACAATAACTTTCCTCAGAATTCTGAAATAATTGCATGAACTCAAACTTGAAATCTTTTCTAAGAGCTCTGTTCAGTCACTGTTCAATTCTCCACATTTATGTTCTGATAATGTGACGTGACAGAATGTAACGCCTCTTTCTGTACTTATAAAACACACATGATTGTAGGACTGTGTTATGCCTCCAAAACAGCTCAAAGTCTGAATCAATCCTTCAACCCATCAAGGAAGTGACAAGATAAACTTAACGAGGGACACTCCAGGATATCAATCTCTTTATTATGAAATCAGGTCAAAATAAAAAAGGAGGAACTCTTCATTTTCTTTATGGAACCATAATAAGGAAATATTAAAAATCGTTCTGCTCGGGAGAGAGAAACACGTGACTCAGAGGTACATCAATGAATGCCTCCATTACAAGTTTAAATCTTAAACACAAAGAAAGAGACCAAACTAAGTCATCCAGTCTAGAAATTAAAAAGCTTTTATCACACGAGAAAAAATATATCTGCCTTCACAAATAACATGCATCAAAGAACCCCAAAAAGCAGCCAGTTTTGGAGATGACTAAGGTAGTAATTAATGCATTTTCTTTTTTAAACATGACTGATCAACATGACGTCACGGAGGGCCGAGTGTGTTAGACTCCAACCTGTGGCTCCAAGGTCGAACTAATGAGTACACCAGAAACAAGGGGGAAACAAAATCAGCTTCTGTGGCCGGATTCAAATCTCCATGACACCATGTTGAGTCGCCCTGTTCAGAGATGTGAGCAGGTCAGAAAGGATGCTTTCCTCTGAGTCTCCATCTTCACGTCAGGATTTCGTCCATCATGTTGGGGGAGGGGGGTAGTACTGGTTATACCCGGCATACTGGTTGTACTGACCCCATGAGTTTTGTCCCCATCCGCCGTACTGCTGCTTGGAGAAGAGGGGAAAGGTTGAGAAAATGACTTAAGAGCCAGATACACTAACCCAACATTAAAGAACTAGTGGCGACCAAGGCCGACGTTGTGTCACCTCATGTTGCCGGTCTCTCGGCCCATAAAGCTGCACATGAACACACTGCAAAGACTACAGCTAACGGCCAACAAGCACGTATGTTCTGCACCCATGCGAGAGGAAATAACTCCGTATCAGCAGGTGGCGCTGGTCAGTGTTCATCAGATTCAAAACGCTAGGTAACACATTACCAACAAAACCCGATATTGAAAGAACAGATCGTATTCAGCCGGAGCTACTGAACAATAACAAAAACAAACTGTTTCTGCTACAGAGCTCAATGGCTACAAAAAAAAATCTTACCAAATATAACACATCTGTTTTGATCTCTTGCCCACACTAAGTTGTGTGTTTGTTTTCCTCACCTCTGTTTCTGCCAGTCAGGGTGATTCAATTCACCGACAGGCTCCTTCGTCTCCAACATCAATTCAACATGCTGAATTGGCTGTAAAGAAGCCAACAAGGGCTGAAAATGGCCAACTAGTGCCAGCAGTGTGGGACACACCGCCAAAACTAAGGCGTCAGGCACTCACTGACGGCACGACACTGACAGACGACAGACGGCTTGGTGTGTCAGAGCCCTCAAACAAATTCTGATTGCAAATGGATGGTTTGGATTTTTTTAACAGAGGGCCATCGGCACAACCACAGTTCGGAGAAGCAGGCAGGAGTACCGCCACAGAAGCTAAGCAATGTACTGCTGTGGACGGGGGCAGCTACCTATTTCAGCCAAACAAAAAAATAATTCAGTTTAATTATACACTATATTAAGAATATTCTCACCGCTTTGCCTTGCTGTCAGACAGCCATTATCTTTGTTCTCTTCAAAGTCACCAGAATCCATTGACAAAAACAGTAACTTTACATCACAGAACACAAGCTGCAGGTCTACCGCTGTCTCGATCAGTTAGTTTGTCTGTCTTACTGTGTGACTTTGGGGTTTTAAAGGGTTAGTTCAGATTCACCAAAGTCACACAATAACAGAAAAAAAACTACTGATGGAGGCAGCCGTAGACCAGCAGCTCCTGTGTTCAGCAAGGTAAAATTCCTGTTTTTGTCAATGGAGTCTGGTGGCTTTAAAAAGGGGATAGAGCAGCTTTGGTTACCTGTTGGAAATTTATGCCAGGCCTTTTTATAAGGTGGCTAATATACATTTTGCTGCTGCCCCCTTCCACAGCAGTACATTACTTGGCTTCCGTAATGGACTCTTGCCTGCTTCTCCAAACTGGGCAGAGTAGTGACTGCCATCTACTGTAGGCAATACACTGACTTACGTTTGGTTTACTTTTGTTTGCCCCCTTTGATTCAAATACTTTTTTACTAGTAGCCTTACACGCTTGGTGTCACATGAACTCAAAACCGCTAAGACGAGAAACCCACCTGGTACCAGTTGTAGTTATACGCGGAGTTGTTTGCCGTCGTGTCTGTCGCTGCGCCTGCAACAACTGTGGAACCATCGTCCACGCGTTGTCTCTTAGCATCAGGCTCCTGAGAGCTGTAGACCAACAATTTCACATTAGTAAAACCACTTTGAAAGTAGTTCAACAACAAATAAAAGCTGTTCCGTAACTGACTTTAGCACCTCTCACTGTGACACAATGAATAACTAACTAAAGAACTGCTACTAATCTTATCTTTGATTGGAGTTACTTAAAGACATGAAAATAATGATGTGTTGGTGTGACCCAGCCCTGTTCCCTTATCCACCTGTCATACCCGTTCTCCGCCTTCCTCTTCGAGGGTTCATTTTCTTTCTGTAGCTTCTGTTGTTCCTCGTACGCAGCAACAAGCCTAAAAGATGTTAAAGAGTGAAAATGACTCAGAATGAAACATGAGAAAAGGAAATAAATTTACAAACCATAGCCATAAGTTGGTTTCTAAAAGAAACAAAAACACTCACACGTTGATGTCACTGCCAAAGTCCTCGAGGAACTCGACCTTGCGCTGGCAGAAGAGGAGGCGGGATTCAAGAGGCATCTGGCTCTTCAGGGCTCGGTCGAAACAGGCCAAGATCTCAGCCTCGTTCTGTGCCACGTCTCCACTGTATTCCAGCTCAAGCAGGTTTAGGTAGAGCTTCGGACTCGTCTGTAAAGCCACAGAAACAATGTGTTTCTCACAACTAGTGCAGTGCAGCCATAGCTAGAGTGGTACAATTCACTTTATTTAAGATCATTTTTTGGCATTTTGCATCTTCTGTACAGGACAGCTATTGGAGTGAAAGGGGAAGAGGGAGGATGACACGCAGCAAAGACATAACCTTTGTACATGGGGCGCCTGCTCTTCCAGGTGAGCTAGTGGGCACCCACAATTTACTTTTAATTGCATGTTGATCCAGTTTCTGTTTGCATTAGAAGCAAAATGAATTGCAGCAGAAACCCAAATGAGTGACTCCATATTTACTCAGTTTAACTTTATTCAAGTAAAGCCTCTCCAAATACAATCAGTGATGTTGTTTAGTAAGCACCCTGTGTCCCTGGCACATTAAAATCTGGGGATACACAACTCAAGATATGACATTTGTATGTTTTGTACATATACGTTACCACTGTTCATACCGTGGAGAGCAGTTCAGTGCAGCCAGGAATACAGATTTATACATTTGGGAAACTTAACAACAACTCCACAAACACACGGCACAGCACAGGAGAGCTAGCTCCTCAGGTCAAGACTCTGCTGTCCACTTACATCTACAGGAGAAGGGACACTCTTTTGAGGACAGCAATGAGCACATCTTGGCCAGGGAAGAAAGATGGGTTTGAAAGAGGTGTAAAAGAAGCCATCTACATCAAACTGGAATGACCATTGTTAAACAGAGAGCGTGGCCTACGACACCACTTATCACCCGTCAGGGTCAGGTGGGTCCAGGTGTGAAGTCGTGGACCCACCTGACCCTGACGACTCACGTGATGGCCAGGCGGGTCAACGACTCACATTGTGACCATAACGACTCTGAAACTAAGAGCTCACGTGACCCAAACCACTCTGCAGGGGTTCACATCCACACAGGGTTTAAAGCCTGCAACTGCGTATCAGTCAAACGTCTTCAATAAACGCAAGCAAGTCCAGTTGCCTACAATATAGCACTCATGATTTTATTAGTAAACTGTAACTATAAAATCAAAGGATGTTTTGCTGCCTCTCACAGCAGCTGGACCGACTGCCAGCAACTTTTAAGGTGGAACGTTAACTTGTAATGTTACTCAGTGCATGAGCTGATGATGTGAATCCATCAGCAGCACCTTAAATTTCACTGTGACAACTTTGACCGTCACTTAAGTTTAGTAATCAGTGGATGTTCACGTGTTTATATATATAAATTTCGACCAGGTTATGTGAACAGCATATATTCCAATCCTCACTCAGAGAAAAGTGTTGTGGAGTGTCGTTCCTGTGGGCTATAGCAACACTAAACCCCTGAGCTTGCCTGAGAAGGACTAAATGCACAAACCCACTATTTTTAAATATCCCATGGAGAGAGACTCTCACTGCAGCCTGTTCTATTTTGTTCTGAAAATTTTGTAACTCCGTTCTGTTGACGATTAAGTGCAGACTTCCATGTGTGTCACTGCTGATGAGGAAAAACAGTGAGTGCTGGACGGAGCAGTGAGTGACAACAACCCCACTCACATGAGAGAGTACTGTTTGCGGTGGGTGGAAACCCTAAACTGACCTAGGGTCTAGGTACCATGTCTGAAGGGTTACTTTGGTTCCAAAGGTGAGACGGTCTATATAGTGCAGCAGTAACTCAGAGAAGAGGTGAGTGAATGAACTTGGTAGGGTGTGTTGGTCTGTAGACACTGGCTATCACAGCTTTGTCACCTGTGTGTAAACTAATGAAAAGAAGCATCTAAATGAATTCCTTTTACCACTTTTTTTTAAATTCAAAACACTGCGGCATGGCAACACTTTACAATTTAATAAGGGTTTTGTGACACCAACTGGTTCTTACCTGGTCTTTTTCAATGGCGTCCAGCAGCACCTTCCTGGCCTTGCTCAGACTCCTCTGCACCTTCATCATCTGCCTGGCCAGCTTCACAGCGTAGAATGACGTCTCAGTAGCATTCTTTGCAGACTCCATAGCCTCCCTTAACAGCGCCTCTGCTTCCTCCAAGTTCCCATGGCGACGCTCGAGACTGACCCTCCGAAGACGCACCATGGCCAGACCTGGGACAGACTCTTCCAGGGACTTCAGGATGCCACGAGCCTCCTCTACATTACCTGGGCAAAGAAAAGAAGACCACTGTCAGCACGGCCAAACACAAGTCGAATTATGTGTCACTATTTAAAAGTCTGTTTCACGATGTACACATGTAGTTAGACCGTCATACCCACAGAGAAACTTCACCTCAGAATCTCTCTGGTAATTTGACTGTGTTGAATTTGCATGTTAGTTTGACAGAGTGTCGCTCACCTTGCTGCTCCTCGAAGGCTGCCCACAGCAGGTGGATGGCTGGTTTCTTGGGCAAATGGATGGTGCACGCCTTCTTGTAGACATGTCTCACACCATCAGTGCTGTAGCCCTCTAGATACTTTGCATACTTGAGAGTGAAAAAGAGAGAGCGAGTTGGAAGAAATGCAGGAGAGGACAGAGAAAAAGAACAGAGGAGAAAGGCAAAAGAGACAACACATTTTAAACCTAAAATTTCAGTTGACAGAAAACAGTGAATTTCTTCATTGACAAGATCGTTTTTAGAAATTTTCTGTGTAAACCCATCAGCACCTTCATGGAACCAATTAGATAAGTTTCTGTAAGGTAGTGGGAGACGAAGAAGATGCAACGTAGTAGTTGGCAAATGCTGCAGTCAAATCTTGTGTGGCAAGCTGGCCATCCCCTAATACAACAGATACAGTCACATATCAACGTTACACGCAAAGAGAGTGCAGGACGATTTACTGTGTCCATGTGATATCATCGTTGGTGGGGAAGTGCAGGGAGGAAGCGGGAGTGACAGAGAGGTTAAAGGTCACGTTACCTTCATCCAGAACTCCTCGTAGAGTGCACAAGCGATGAGGCATCGTTCAAAGAGAACAACCACGCGCTCCGGAGTCCCATTTTCAATTTCAAAGTCCAGGTACTCCTTCCAGTTGTTCAGCTGGGTCTTCTCCAAGGCTTTGACGTGGAAGTACGGTCTCTTAATCTGAAAAGACACGAATAATTCTTTGATTTACAGCGTCGAAGAATAAAAAAGACATATTTCAGACAACAGGGTTTGAAAGTAATGGTTGCCAGGTCGCCACTGTCAACCATTTTTAGAGACTGGCAAAAACTTCTTGGCCTTTGGTTGGCAACCAATGTTTGACATAAAAAGGACAGTAAATGCACACCTGAACTAAATAAAGGTTTAACATTTATTGTATTTGTGATGTTAAATAGTGCTATTATAGTCTGATTTGGAACCAGGCGATGCTGCACATGCGTTGGTGCGTTAACTCACAAGCACATCGGTGTCCATCTTACGGGCAATGTCAAAGCAAATTAAGCTGTTTGACTGTGAGATGAAACCAACAACTAACCAGTCAACATCACAAAACAATGTGCAAATTGATTCAACTGACAAGGACTTTTGTTTGATAATTGTAATCAAGCTTTTAAACATTGTTTTGAGGGTTGGGTGTTGCTCACATTTGAACTGACATTGGTGCCAGTGAGGTACCCTGAGTTCAGTACTGGTGCCCAAAAGTATCATTTTCTGTGCTTTACTCTTGTGTAATAACAAAAATGTCATTTTTGAACAAGCTGTAGTCAACAAGCTATTCTGCTCCTCTGCTCTTTTCTAATCACATCACACATAAGGTCCGGACACACCAAGCTGACAGTTGGCAAACCGTCATTGTTGGGCCATCAGTGAGCATCTGTTGCCCTCGTCTTTGCAGTGTGTCTGTTTTTTTTTGTTTTTTTTTCAGCCAATTTAGCTGGTTGATTTGGCGTCAGAGACGGAGGAGCCCGTAAGTGAGAGAAATCACTCTGACTGGCAGTTCAACTCAGTGCATAAGAAGAGTCACGGAGGTGAGGAAACAAAAAGCTAAAGTCACGAGGAAATGAGACTAAAACAAACTTTTTACATAAGGTAAGATTATGTTTCTTTAGCCACTGAGCTCCTCAGCAGAAACATTTAATGATGGTTTGTGTTACTGTTCACTGGTGACGGTAAATATGCTCTGTTCTTTCAACGTAGGATTGAGTTGTTAACTAGCGTCAGGTCTTCCAGTTTCCCTTTTTGAATGAGTCTTTGCAGTACGCTGGTGTGCAACTTTCTGGCAAAGAGGTCAGCAACAAAACAGCCGGCTTTCGTCATGCTTCTTCTTCGATATCGGTTTTGTGTGTATAGGCCTACAGAGCTAAGTGTCTTTCTCTCTTACGCTCATGTTACGACTATTAATTTATCATGTTGGTCTGTTCTGCACGACATCTATTACACGTCTGTCTGTCCTGGAAGAGGGGTCCCTCCTCAGTTGCTCTTCCTGAACTTTCTACCATTTTTTTTTCCCGTTAAAGGTTTTTTTGGGGAGTTTTTCCTTATCTGCTGTGAGGGTCATAAGGACAGAGGGATGTCGTATGGTGTAAAGCCCTGTGAGGCAAACCGTCATTTGTGATATTGGGCTTTATGAATAAAATAGATTGACTGATGCATTTGCTCCTCTCTCTCGCTCTTTGTTAATACACAATGCAATCAAAAAATGCAATTACAAACAGCAGTCATACTAGGCTATGTCTACAGCAAAACAGAAAAGTAATGGCACCTTATATCTTCAACCAGATCATCAGTTGAAGCAACCAAAAGCTGATGCCTGGTTGCCAGCCTGGCGACCACTTTTAGTTAGTTAGTTAGTGCTGAGCCCTTAATAGTTAGCATTGATGTGTAGGAAACAAGTCACGTACCCCCTCCTCAAAGGTCCAACGCTTGCTGACTTCATGTTCGTTGTGGTTGAACACTTCCTGCCGAACCTCGATGACCTTGTGGCGCATGTTCTCAATCTCTGTCACCCTCTACATATGGACACAGAGAAAAACACGTGGTCAACACCCCCATGTACACTTCACCATATCACATTCTCCACTTGATGTAAATACTGCTAGTCCTGCAGCCAAAAATTACATCACCATGAGCCAGAGACAAGAAGCCTGTGGAGGGGGGAGGTATGTATGCACCCTGCATATCGGCCTCTGGGTGCAGGTGCTGGGCCTCAGTTGATCCTTTAAGTTTTAGGGCGAGTCCCTGACAGGATGCCAACTTGAATCCCCCCTGGCATTCATTGGCTTGGCTGCTGACATAAAAACACCTCTTCAAACCTGAACAAAGCTTTCCATCTTATCATGGAGAACAGGCAAGCTCCTGCTAAACCCTGCAAGCAATGCTTCTGTAAATGTGTCTACCCTGCAGGAGGCATCTGGAATTATACCTTAGCAGGGTCTGCAAGATCTTCTGTACCAGGTGGTAACTCCTCCTGAGGAACAGGAGTCTCTTCATCCTCGCCGATCATCGATGTTAGGCTGGCTTTAGAGAGCTCCAGCCTCAGCTGGACAAACTCCTCTTCTGACAGGAAGTGTCTGGGGTGGTTGCTCTGTACGTGATCTTTAAACCTGCAAATATTAAAAACAGGAAAACAAGATCCAACTCAAACAAAGGTTTCAAACTGTGTTACACGTATGTGTTATTTTAGTCAAATGGCTTATAAGGAAAGAAAGCCTCTCTATAGGGATGTAACGGCGCACAGAGGTGACGGTTCAGTTAATACCCCAGAGCAGGAGTCATGGTTTGGTGCAATTCACACTTCACTGAACAAACACTTTCCCAAAAGCAAAAGGTCACAACAGGCTATTAAGCACCTCCTGTGCTATGACACTGAAAATACAAACTAATAGAATAATAAAGAAAATAAACCTGTTCATTAGGAAGTGTGTTACAATGAGTTCCACCTCAGCTATATGCCACTGTAAATGCCAATTGCTTCAGTAATTATTTTACCACATTCAGCTTTTACATCTAAATGTAAAGCTGCAGGTATGAGGAGTTGAGCTCTGGCTTCTTATTTCCTTATTCTGGTGATCAGCACATCTGGGTGATGCCATCAAATATTACAGATACTGTGGACCAGCGGAGCAACGTCAGCACATCGTCCTCATCCTATACACAATTCCAACGCCAACCAGGAACCCGGAGGCGCGTCTTCCAGCTCTGGAGTTTCATTTAAGCTCTCCATAGTGTGACTGACTCAGCACCTGTTGCTAACAGTGTATAGCTAAATATTTATGAGCGGAACTCTCATGTGAACTTTGTGACGGCTTGGCACAAGTACACGAACCAGTACAGTCCTGCTTCTCCCAGGTTGTGCTGTGTGGAGCTTAGCGCTACTCTGCTCAATGTTACAATTACTTTACACAAAAAGACGAGCTGACAGAAACATGACTGTGATGAAGTTTTTTCCCCTACCTCTGGAAGTGCTGGGAATACAGCTGGGTTGGGATGCCCAAGATGCGGTCATAGATGGCAGTGACGTTACCCAGTTTCCCCTGCTCTGTCTCCCAGTTGACGAAGGCCTCCCACAGGCGGTCTGAGCGAAAGTCTGTGCCTGCTGCAGCCACCGCATGTTCATAGGCACTAAAAGTAGGAAATATAAAGATCATTAATCTCATGCAACTACATGTTGTCTTGTCAAATATTCATTTAAATTCAACCATTTACAAAAAATAGGGATTTTAAATCAACACGAAGAGGAGGGAAAAAATGCAAGTCTTCTACTTACGCTCGAATGCGTCCCTCGGTCTCTGGGTCACTTGGGTCTGAGTTCTCTTTGATGTAGGTCAGGTAATGCAGCCACAGATCCACACTGAGAGGGATGGCCTGCAAGCCTCTTCTGTATACCTTGTGATAGAAAGACCAAAAACAAACAAGCCCGTCAGTGGCTGAAGTAATTTTACCAAATCTACTGAAGTGGCTCTCTCTGTTCTTGTGGCTTAATGCCTTTCATTGCTGCTATTTGCAGCCTCTGAAGGAGCAAAACTAAGGCACAGCTGCATGTTGAGTCAGTGTACCAACATGATAATAGGATACTGGTGACCAGCCAAATATTGAATTACAAAGAACATCACATATGGCAAGAGGTAGAAAACTAGAGACAAGAGAGCAAAGGATATTTATAATTACCTCTTCTGCAACCTGAACATTCTCGTGCTTTTTCTCAATGTCAGCATACTTCTTCCAGTAGCCATAGCAGTAGGGATAACGCAGGAAGAACACGTCAAATGACTTTCTCACGGCTGAAAGTTCATTCTGCAAGAAAGAGGAAACAGCGAAAAGACTGTAATATTTTTTCCCGTTTAGTTTAATAATCCTTTAGTCTACTTTGACTAATATACAAACTGAACATGTCTGCGCATGTCTGAATAATCATGACGTCTCTAACCTCTTGCTCCACATACTGCAGCAGGTAGACCCAACCATTGAAGTCTTCTGGGTTCTCCTCGCAAGCTTTGTAGAGTTTTTCGAACTCGCTGGGTGGTTCTGGAGGAGGAGTCGCTTCTTCTGTTGTGTCTCTGGGTGGTTCTTCAAGCTCCATACCATCCTCCGCCACCTGTGGTGCCTCAGTCCCATCTGGAGAGGTTAACAAGGAATCATGAATGGGCATTACACAGAGGAGCAAGCAACAAATTAGTCCTATAATGGTCTCCTTGCAAGTTTATTTAGACATATATGTCACTGTCAAATCAACATTATTAACATTTCAACAGGTTTAAGAGGAAATTCAATAGTCATGTGATCACATGTCTGAAAAGCACATCATGTTTTTGCTTGCAGACTATTATTTGCAATCACAGCAAATGAGAAGTGAAGATGTTTAGTTCAATGTACAGCTTAAATAATTGTTCAGTTGTTACATTGACTGCTGTCATTAAAAGAAACACATGAACACCATGATTCCTTTAAGTGTTTGTAGTGATTATTTGCGTCTAAGGAAACTAATTTTGCCTTAATATATATCAGTTACATAACAACGACTAAACACCAGTATAACCAATCTGATTACCTTGACTGCCATCCTGCATAGTGGCTGCTGGCTCTGGCTCTACGCTCATCTCCTGGCTGTCAGAGTCTGTTTTGTGTTCTTCAGGCTGTTCTGCCTCTTCTTCGGGCTGTGGTGGTGGAGGTGGAGGCTGCTCCTGTTGGAAGAGCTGAGCACTGGCAATCTGAAACTGCTCCACAGCCTTTTCCACAGATCCCAGCTCTGTGGAATTCATCTGGTTGTTCAGCTCCTCCTCCTGCTCCTGCTGCCCCGGAGCATCCTGGGACGCATCTGAGTCCTCAGGCAAGATACTGGTGAGTGGCTCTGAAGTCACCTGGTCCGGGGACCAGTCAGCTGTTTGGCCTAGAACAGGAAGGTCAGGAAGAAAGGCATCCCCATTGCTCTCCATGGCAGGGGACTCAGTGTCCAGCATTCCAGTAATGGTGTTGTCTGAGAGATGCAGGCCTGTTGGAAAGCACATTGGATTATCACCACAGCTGCAACAATTAAACAATAGAAAACTTATCAGAAAATATTTTGAAAGTTATTGGTTACCGTCATTTTCCAAGCAAAAACACTAAATATTCAGCTTCCTAAGGGCGAGGATTTTCATTATTTTTTGCAATACACAAGCAGGATTGGGGCGTAGTGAAATGCAAGTGACTGAGCTACGTATTTTAAATTCAAAATATGAGTAAGTGTATTCTGTTATAGTTTAAATTACTGTTAATCTGCAAACAGATCCTGTCTTTACAAAACAGATTACTAAAGGAAATGCTTTATTTGCTCTTTTCTGTTTGCATGTTCTACCTGGCCTCAAGCAAAAAGGTGCTGCTGGTTTGAGCTGAACTTTTGTGAGACGCCTTGTTTCTATTAATTCCTGTCACACACAATGAAGAGTTGCTGCACAACACCTCCCCATTTCACAACAAACCTAAATTAGGTGGCAGTTGGCTGGAGGCAGATCACCAGGGAGCTGAGAGTTTCTGGTATATGACCATCACTAGTAACAACCTACTTGCTGTCGGCTATACTGTATATTTATGACAGAAGCATTTGTCATAATAAATATAGTAAAAACCACAATATAAGATGTGTCCCTGCCTAATAAGTACAAACATAGAAAGACAGAAAGAACACTCCCATCTTTTAAGTGGTCACTCCTCCAGTGAAGTGCACAGCTGACAGGTAGCCTACGTGCAGAACTGGAAATTATCACCAGCCACAAGCCGAGCGCTGGTAAAATGTGCAAATGACTGCCAGATTTGCCTCACTCACAAGCCAAAGAAACAATGCCAATGTGTTGAGTGGTTGGTAGATTTTAGAATCCACCAACCAAAGTGGCAGGAGGACAAAAAAGTTAATATCCAACCCTGCTTACGTGGTGAGTTTAAATGTATTAACAGAGTCCGTGTGGACAGAGAGCAACATGTGCTTGCTGTTAGGACATGGTATAAAATTCATGAGGCATTTTCCATGAACAGATTTTTAAATAAGGATGTGCAGTTCACCTCCCACATGACAGTCAGAACACTGTTGTGTGTTATCAGCATAGACATATAAGACCTAGTCAAATGAGCTCAGTGAGACGATTCTGAAGTCTTCCAAAAGTAATCCAAAGTAGGTAGACAGGCTGTCTACAGGTATCAGACAGGTAAATGTAATGCTCTGTAAGACCTGTTCAAGACACGTTTCGACCAGATTCATGACAGATTTTTTGATAAATCATGTTTTATTTATTAAGCATTGCAGACAAACAGTATATGTGGTCTTGAGCAGAGGTAAGTGTTATGTAGGAATAATGGTTATAAAAGTGAGTTAAGTCAATCTACATTTTGCCAACAGGTGAGCACAAAGATGAAGTAAAATACAGTATTATAGTTTTTTTAATATTTGTAACATTAGAAATGTGGATTTTTACATAAGAAGGCTTCACTCATTTTCACAAAAAGACAGTAAAGATTGATAAATGACATTAGATAAAACGTTTGTAGCAATTAAGACCTCACAAAATCAAATTTAAGATTTTTTTAATGACGTTTAAGGTGTTGTAAGATTTCGTAACATTGAAATTGAAACATTTTAAGACTTTTTTGAAAAAGGACCTGTAGACACCCTGTCATTATATGTTCCTAAATAATCTAATAAAATACGTTACAAATAATGTTTTGGGGCTGTATTCAGTAATTTGTACTGGATAAAGTTTTAAAAATAACCCTCCCAGTGGTGTATACCAGTATATTTAGGTTTTCTGACTGTTGAGACAAGAAAAGATGTTTAAAATCTCACTGTGGGCTTAAAGAAGTTGTAAATGGCGCCGTCTTATTAAATCTGCAACATTTTATGGACTAAATGACTTCATGATAAATAGAAAACGAGTATCTGCTGATGTAACTTATGCTAACCGCATTAGCTAGCTTTCCCTGGTAGAAGCAGCAGCAGCTGGCGCTTCAGTACATTCCTCGTTATAATGTTAAAACAGACGCCAGCTTTAGATAAACCCCACCGTTAGCGACTAAAAATAATGTCTCCTACCCACGTGACCGGCCTCTAAGATAAGTAACACTACGTGTAGCTACCAACCTTAACTGAGCAGCGAAGGCTAACGAACTCAAGTGTTGCGTCGAAATGGATTTGTTTGCTTTAGCTTTAACCTCGTTTGCTGTTTGCGGCCGTGTTGCACCCGGGGGATTGTTTGCATACGTTAGTCAAAGTTCAATCAGAAGTTGGGCCTTGACTCTATCTATTTCCTGACAAGTATCACAGCACTAGAGCGATCAGAGTTGGACGTTAGCCTCACGCTAACGCTCGTTTATTAATGCTACACGTGAACTCAATTATGAGCGTTAAATGTTAGCTAGTTAACCACAATGTTCGGCTTACTAGGGTCAAATGTTACGATATTACTTAAGTTTGTCAATCAGTGCCTGATTACGTTACAATCTCGTTCACATTGTGCTAACTAGAGCAACTAGAACGTGCTACATATTTGTCTCTGTCTCCAGGTAATAGTCGGGACCAGCGGAGTAGCATCTCCATGTTAGCTAGCCGGCTAACGCTGGTCATTTCCCTAGCTAACGTTACCACTACTAGCTAGCGTTAGCTGGCTGTCGAGTCGCGTCAATTTTAGTCACACTGCACCAATTTCGTGAATAAAGATACGTCTGGGGAACTTACCAGTATCTTCCATGAAATTTCGGCCAACCTTGTGAACTTGTGTGCGGCTTTCGAAGTCACTTTATCTAACCTACAGCGGCCAGGCGCGCTTCGCTTCGTCCACCATACTTAACTTTGAGGAAGAACTGTTAAGAGTGTGCGCATGCGCAGTGCACCGCCCGCCCCTGAGTGTGGAGGGAGGCACTTTTCCACAGTGCCACAGTTTTGATCAAGTTTATAAAAAGTGCAAGGTCACAAGGTTAGAAAACAATAAAAATGGACATAAACTTGGTCAACTGAAGAATATGAGAGGTCCAATTATTCAGCATTTTGATATTACTGTCGTTACAACACGAACTGGACTGCAGCATTCCACCAAAATATTGCACTTACATTATAAGGGACTGTTCATTATTTGTGAGGGGTAGGGCGAGGGTGCAAAAAGGGGGAGGTAAGTCATATTTTTATTAAGCACTGGAGAGGGACTTATGTCTTTTATTTTGGCTTAGGGGAGGGGCATATGAATTTAAATGGTTGTATTTTGTATTGATTTTATTGCAGATTTTTAAGGTAAACATGCCTTACAAACCTGCACCACCATTTATCATAACCTATAACTGTAAAAACAGAAATTCTTGTTGGATCTTCCATGTTCTGACGGACCCTGGACACATCATTTGTGACAAATGCTTCTGTCAGAGATATCAATTTAACCAAATCTGAGCTTAAAATCACGATATTTAATCAAAATCACCTCATTTTACCTCTCATTTAAAATTTGGCCAAAAATAAAACATCTGCACAAACTAACCAGCACAACAAGAGTGAAAAACTGAGGCTTTTTTCAGTTTCAGGATTTCATCTTCCATTTTAAACTTTCAAACATCAGAGGATAAGTTTTAAAAATCTAATAACTACATTTATGGTGGAGGGATGGTCATGCGTTTTCCACCAGTCACTCAGGGAGGCTCAAGGAAAAAAATATTGGTTGCTTCTGGGAGGATCAAAATGAGAAAAGAAGTCACACCTTAGTCACCCTCCTCCTCTGATAAGTAAATAATAGTCCCTAATAGTGGTGAGTTTTTACATTGATAAGCTGTACTTTTTGTTTAAAAGCTGATGTTACAGTTAAATGATACACTGGCCCATATTGCAGATGTTGGCATATATGTCAACGGATACATAACCAGCGTATTTTGGTGTTAATATAAATGTATAAATATATAAATATTAACACCAATATTTATATTTGGTGTTAATATAAATATTAACATAAAAAATATTAACACCAAATCTAAATATTGGTGTTAATATTTATATTAACACCAAAATCTGTCATAGTCTAAATAGTCACTGTTATTAAACATGTTTGTATTTATTATCATATCTTGCTTTTATTTTTTACTGCTTAATATCAGTGTTGTTAAACTGTGCAATGATTATAATTTGTCATCTTACTTTGTAGTTACTGCCCTCACAGTGTTCTACCCCTACATGACATACTTCAGTCCTTCAGTTATCACAGTGCTGTGTTATGTTAATTGTGTCATAAGTGTGTTTTATTCAGCAGCTGTCAGGTATCAGGCTGCTCCACACACGGTAGTTCCCCCCGCCCTTTTCACTCACAACCTCCACGTCACAGACTAATCATACGGGAACCGTTTTGAATGAATGATCAGACATGTCGGAAAGACCCGGCTGTAACCCCCCTCTGAAGACCAGTACACACATTAAATCCTCAGATCTGTTTCATATGCACAGGTCTGTGTCTAATTCTTCTGTGTGACGTCATAAAAGAGGTGATTTAATACATAATAAAAGCTCAAATGGCGTCAACAGTGACTAATGGGCCGGTCTGCAGTTTGGGCTCTTTGAAGCGCGCATGCGAAATGGCGTATGGTGCCTTTTGGGACAGTCGGAAATCTTATAACTTTGGTGGTGAAGAATGTTTTTTCCCCCATGCCCTCAGTGGTTAGTATGAAGTTTTACTTTAGATAAATTGCGGTATTTAAACATTAAAAATGCATAAAGGTATAATAAATTTAGTTGGAGTTTAGAATTTAGATACTGAATTAATAAGGTCAAGTAAAACAAAAAAACATTAATTTATAATTAAGATTCAACAGCTGTTATTTTTTGGTGGTAGTCATGCACAGGGTTAGTATTCCTACTGATGCTCTGTGGGTCAGACCTCATTTCATTTTTAGGTGGCACAATATTTAACATCTTCAAACTGCAACTTAAAGGCAACAGCAATGTTGTTTGTGCAGTGCTTCAACTTCACAAACTTGCTGCAGTGATGTAGAAGTGTACTCCAGGGGGTGTCAGTATGCCATGGCATCTCTACAGGATGTGATCAGGGGTGCAACAAGGCCCTTGAAAATGTAAGGTAGATCTTTAGTATGAGAAATAAAGGACAAAAAAATAAAACTTTAACCAGTAGGGGCAGCACAACACTGCTTTAACTTAATATTAAAGCCCTTGGAAATTTGGAGTTAAATATTCACGATTACGAAAGAATGCAAAATACACTGAGCTAATACATTAACATGATTCAATAGGATTAGATTAGATTTAACTTTATTGTCATTGCAAGTGTAGAGTAACGCATGGAGTTTATATTGAATGAACAATGATAGATAGGTGAAGTTTTTGATAATGTTAGACATGTACACTATAAATTGATGCAGGAAAGTCACAAATTAGTCCATAAAAACTCACCAGAATGCAGGAAATAAAGTGCAAGAAATGTGAATAGCAGAAATGTCATGCACAATAAACAGCAGGAGGTGTGATACCAGAGATCTGACATGTACAGAATAGACAGTAGTGGCCTATAAATATTAATACTTTGTACGACAGTATAGAGAGTAGTATAAAAAGTATGGGTAGGCCTATGTGAGAGTGTATATAGTGGAAAGAACCAGCAGCACTATAAGCTGTATACTCTCATAGGGATGCACTATATTACATTTTTTGCCGATATCCCAATATGCTGATATATAACAACTCATTTGGCCAATAACCAATACCGATATTGATATATCCACCTAATTTTAGTGATCATCAAGTCTCTTCTGTAGTGGAATTAACACCATATTATACATGCATACTCTTATCATGACGGCCCACCAGCAGATGGAGACATGAAATACAACACTTTCAATGCATGTAATGTCTATTTATTAAAGCTTGTTGGCCGATTCTGATAGTTCATTTTAAAGCCGATATCAGCCAATACTGATGACATGCCGATATTATTGTACATCCCTATACTCTCACATACCCATACTTTTTATAAATAAATGTCCATCAATCTATTTTCATCCACTTATCCAGGGCCAGGTTGCAGGGGCAGCAGGCCAAGCAAAGCACCCCAGACTTCCCTCTCCCCAGCAACGCTTTCCAGCTCCTCCTGGAAGACCCCAAGGTGTTCCCAGGCCAGATGATATATATATATAATCCCTTCAGCATGTTCTGGCTCTGCCCCGGGGCCTCCTACCAGTGGGACGTGCCTGGAACACCTCTAACAGGAGGCACTCAGGAGGATCCTGATCAGATGCCCGAACCACCTCAACTGACCCCTTTTTGACACGAAGGAGCAGCGGCTCTACTCCGAGCTCCTCACCCTATCTCTAAGGCTGAGCCCAGACACCCTACAGAGGAAACTCATTTTGGCTGCTTGTATCCACGATCTCATTCTTTCGGTCACTACCCAGAGCTCATGACCATAGGTGAGGGTTGGGGCGTACCTTTCAGCTCAGCTCCCTCTTCACCACAACAGTGTGGCTTAGCACCCGCATCACCGCGGATGCCACACCAAACTGCCAATCCATCTCATGCTTCATTTTACCCTCACTCATGAACAAGACCCCGAGAAAAATTGGTCCACGCTTTTGTTACCTCTAGGCTGGATTACTGTAACTCTCTATTATCAGGTAGCTCTAGTAAGTCCTTAAAAACTCTCCAGCTAATTCAGAATGCAGCAGCACGTGTACTAACAGGAACTAAGAAACGAGATCATATTTCTCCTGTTTTAGCTTCTCTGCACTGGCTCCCTGTAAAATCCAGAATTGAATTTAAAATCCTACTG